TTGAAGCTACACTATTTCAGGGTCAAGGAGGTGGCACTGAAGAATTCGCATAAAAATCTCCTGCCGCCTTGCTCATACGGGCAATGCTGATTTGAAGAGCTGGTGAACACTTGGTTGAATGTAGCTGACAATGTCTGACCCACTCATCCTGCCAGGGATTCCTCATACAAGCGTGGAGATGCTGAGTTTGAATCCATGCTCCGGTACAGCCAGGGAATTGTGGACACAGTCACAAAAGACAGCTTAGTGGATATTTTCCCATGGCTGCAGGTAAGCTTTAATAAGTGATATTTAATGTGTCTTACTCTGTAAGATTCTTAATTGTTTTGGAAAGAAGTCTCACCAGGGCTGCATTTATTCAATCAAAAGTACAGTAAAAACAGTAATTTTACCATTAAAAATGACTATTTTCTATTTTAATATATTTTAAAATGTAATTTATTCCTGTGATGGCAAAGCTGAATTTTCAGTAGTATTTTTTTACTCCAGTCTTCAGTGTCACATGATTCCTCAGAAAGCATTCTAATATGCTGATTTGTTGCTCAAGAAACGTTTCTTATTATCATCAGTGTTGAAAACAGTTGTGCTGCTTAATATTTTTGGGGAAACTGTGATACATTTTTTTTTCTGGATGCTTTGATGAATGGAAAGTTCAAAAGAACGGCATTTATTTGAAATAGAAAAGTTTTGTAACATTATACATACTGTCACTTTTGATCAATTTATGCATGCAGAATAAATGTATTGATTTCTTTAAAATCTTACTGACCCCAAACTTCTAAACCGTACTTCAGCTTTCCTAGTAGTTGCAACTGGTTAGTTACCTAAGCTCTCTTAAAATCATTTTTGTCTTATGCTTTGAATTCTAATACATATGTATTTTTTCCTCCAAGATATTCCCAAATAAAGACCTCAAAATGTTAAGACAGTGTTTTTCAGTCAGAGACAAACTGCTTCAAAAGAAATACGAGGAACACAAGGTAAATGTGCATATTCACTATTACAAAAATACAAATGAAAATTCGGAATATTCCCTGGTTGTAATCAACATGAGTCCATAAAAGCTGTGTGAATAATAATTGTAAAATAGTTTTAGATGGAGTGTAACATTTCAAACCAGGATATGTCAACATATATATGAATTTTAGTGCAGACTCAACAAACAGCAGCTGTCATTGCATATTCCAAACTGCATTTTAGAAAAAAATATGATTTCTTATTCAATAACCTGGGATTTGTCTCCCTCTACAGGTGGATTACAGTGATAACGTCCAGCGGGACCTCTTGGATGCACTTCTGAGGGCCAAACGCAGCTCAGAGAATAACAACACCAGCACTCATGATGTTGGTTTAACTGAAGACCCCGTGCTCATGACTGTAGGGGACATCTTCCGGGCTGGGGTGGAAACCACTACCACTGTACTGAAATGGTCAATAGCTTACCTTGTCCATAACCCACCAGTAAATAAAGCTGCTCACGACTGACTTTACTGAATCAGTCACAGTTTTCTTGTAATGAAACTTAGTAGACATTCTTTGCATTTGACATTAGGTGCAGAGAAAGATTCAGCAGGAGCTGGACAATAAGACTGGAAAAGACAGACACCCTCAGCTCAGTGACAGAGGGAATTTGCCCTATCTAGAGGCCACTATAAGAGAGGTTCTGAGGATCCGACCCGTCTCCCCACTTCTCATCCCTCATGTGGCGCTCCAAGACACCAGGTAAGATTTAAAAAACAAACAAACAAACAAACGAATATATATTTTATATTTATTTTATTTAGCAAGGATGCATTCAATTGTTCAAAAGTGAAAGAAAAGACATAATGGTACAAATCGACATCAATAACAATACGAAATGTTTTGTGAGCAGCAAATCAGCGTATTAGAATGATTTCTGAAGGATCATGTGACACTGAAGACTGGAGTAATGATGCTGAAAATTCAGCTTTGCATCATAGGAATAAATGACATTTTAAGATGTATGCAAATAGATTTTTTTTTTAAATCAATTGTAATATTTCACAATATTATTGTGTACTGTATTTTTGATCAAATAAATGCAGCCTTGATGAGCATAAGAGACTTCTTTCAAAAATGTTAAAATATCTTACTGACCTCAAACTTTTGAATATCATTACATTTGATTTATTCTTTAATTATTTGCTATTTAATTTTGATCTTTAATGCTCATTGCTTGAAAAAAGCACAGAAATTAGGGTTTTAAACTTCCAAATTTGAGGGTTGCCAAAATTTCAATAGTTCATATAAAATACTGTCCAGTCGTGATGTCTTCTCTGCTCTCTTTGACAGTGTGGGAGAATACACTGTGCAGAAAGGAACCCGAGTCATTATTATCCTGTGGTCTTAACATCACGATGAGAAGGAATGGAAGAATCCTGAGCTGTTTGACCCAGGTGAGGATCTGCAGTGATAACAAAAGTTCATCTGAATCTGTGAACATTACCAAATACACTGAATCCTCTAATCCAATAGGACGATTTCTGAATGAGGAGGGTGATGGTTTGTGCTGCCCATCGGCCAGCTATCTGCCATTTGGCGCAGGGGTGCGAGTTTGTCTCGGCGAGGCCCTGGCACAGATGGAGCTCTTCCTCTTCCTGTCATGGATTTTGCAAAAGTTCACGATGCCCGCTGGTCAGCCTCTGTCTGATCTCCAGGGCAAGTTTGGTGTGGTTCTTCAACACAAGAAATTTAAAGTCATTGCCAAACTAAGAGCAGACTGGGAAAAAATCCCACTAATGCAGCAATGCTGAGTAAATGTATTATGTGTGTCTTTTGTACTCTCGAGACGTTTGTGAGAGAATTTGTTTTTATGAAGCCTGCTATCAAATATCACAAATCAAACATGAATAAAATTAATATCTTGAGACAGTGTAACTCCATGATCAACATTAACTGCATAGAGTGCAACAGTCAGGTTCTGCAGATAAAAATCTCATTTATTTTCTCCATGGGAAATTTACTTTTAAATGAATTGTTAATTGATGGTATATGCCTTTGTTGAAGTCATCAGTCTGCATTATTTCAACTAATTGTTTAATCATGGAATTCCAGATGAAAAACTACATTACCCAGAATTCTGCAAAGAAATCTCCACCAGAGAATTAAAACAAACAAAAAAAGAACACTTTAGCTCCCACCCACTCCCATGAAGCACTACAAATGACTTCTCAAATACTTAGATAGAAACGCATTTATATGCATACTTTACAATAAATGTAAATATATGTCTTCTATACACAATCAAGATCTTTAAATCAAGTTATTTTCCCACCATTTTTTAGTAATGTCAAGTTATTCTTTCCCTCAATAAAGCTGTCAAGTACACAGTCTTGAACATTTATCTTTCTGTCCAATTTTCTTTTTTTTCCTTTTGCTTCAAATCAAAGTTTGTGATGCTGTGATTCATCTAGTCTTTAACAAGAACTTTTTAAAAATCCCTATGGGGAAAAAATGAATAAGAAAAAATACTTTCAGAACAAAGGTTCCTGAAGAAGGCAGGCACTGTCATTTTGGATGCGTAATTGAATAACTCACAGAAATCCATTGGCTTTAACAGCTTTTTTTTTATTCATACAGAACATTCTTTGATACTCATTAATTTGGTTGAGTCTTCTTATAAAATGCGGAAAATACAGTTTTATATATAAAAAGAAAGTGACTATGGATACAAAACTAAAACGTAGTACCAGGCTGGAATTAAAGCTTAAGAAAAAAAAAAGCAATTGGCTTTCAGGCACACAAACACACTCACTGCTCAGTGTCAAAACAGTGCAATGACAACTTTTTCAGACAAAACGAATGATCACATCTCATTCACAGTGAGCTACCCAACACAGTGACTCAAATTTCCACTTTTAATCAATACCTTTGGTCTCAAACATCAAAGGACGATAGAAAACAATGTTGACTAGAGCGACATGAAGGAACGACATGAGCACCATTACTGCGACAGATGACTTGTTCTCCTTACTGTTTTCGTAGCTTCAAGCTTTCACTTAATCGGTCAAATGTTATGATGCTATAACTGGTCCAAATCATTTCAAATGCTCAATATTAGGTTTAGCCAAACAATACTGCTACATAAATATTTCTGAAGGCACTACGTCAATGTTGGAATCTGCCTCCCAAACCGGTTTTTCCAGCCAACACACTAGGAACCTAAATTATCAGCCACATCACATTTGAAAGAAAATTAGCCACCATTTACACAGAAACACTCTGATCTGAAGATCAACAGGGCTGAAAAGCCATCTGTGCCCAAGCTAAGACTATTATAGGACAGCTAACTGCTAATCCAAACCAAAGGTCAAACAAACACAGTGGGCTGAAGAACGATCCACTTAAAGGAACCTACAATGACACACACACACACACACACACACACACACACACACACACACACACACACACACACACACACACACAC